TAGTTTAACTGTAGTATGTATCATGCTGCTCGAATGAAAATGTACTTATGTTTTCAATTGATTAATAAACTGACAATTTAGCCTGACTACAGGTACTCAAAAAAAAAACCCCCCAACATTTCTATTTACACTGTCAAGAAATGGTTCATAAAAAAAAATTAATATCATGGATTGACTGGCTTGCTCTCTTGACCTTAACTCTATAGAGAACATCAGGAAGTTATTGAAGGAGTGGTCAAATTTCGATATTAAAATTTTGAGGGGGGGTTTATAGACTCAATGCCACGAAGAATTGAGGCGGTATTGAGGACTTGCAAAATATTAATAGATGATATAAAAAAAAGGCGTTATTTTTGGTGCTGTTGTGTGAATAGATATTTACTTAATAAATATAGTTAATTAAAAACTTGTTTTACTTATCACAAGATCAGATTAATATACTGTAGTAAGTTCGGTTCTTAACTTGCCATTGATTAAAAAGAGTATTTTTATTATTCTACCATAACAGATCTAATTATAAAGAGCAAAGCGTGTTTTTTTAATATAATAAATATTACACTTTCAACCTCTTTGCATTCACACATTTTCGAAAATGGGTCACTTAATGATCTTGGCAACCTGTTCTCTAAATCAATGGGCTCTAGATTTCGAAGGAAATCTCCAACGTATTCTAGAAAGTATTCGCGTTGCAAAACAGAGAGGCGCAACAATACGCGTTGGTCCCGAACTTGAAATAACGTATTGTCTAACATTAGTGGTTTTTCTTTATCTTGTCGTCACCTATATAACTTATTCTCTTGTTTGATAGAGGATATGGGTGTTTCGACCATTTTCTTGAAGGTTCCTTTCTTTCTTTTTCTCTTGAAGATTTTAATTGGGTGAGCTCAACTCATTCCTGATTGGATTCCTTTAGGAGACACGTATTTACATTCGTGGGAAATGTTGGGGAAAATATTGCAATGTGAAGAGGCTCAAGATATTTTACTAGATATCGGAATGTCAGCATCTTTCAATTGATTATATTTTGAATTCCGGAAATTTCTTGAATCATGCCTTTTTTTTTCAATAATTATTCGTTACAACAGGCCCGTGACCCATAAAAATATCAGATATAATTGTCGAATAATCACACTTAATGGAAAAATCTTATTGATCCGCCCGAAGATGTTTTTGGCCAACGATGGTAATTATCGTGAGCTGAGGTATTTCAATCCATGGTTACCAAGTCAATATGTTGAGGAATATCACCTTCCGAGAATCATTAGGGATATCACAGGCCAAGTAAGTAAGTCGCTTGCCTTATTGAATCTTTGGATAGAAAGCGTTTTTATTCACGTTAATTTATACTTCAAGACCACGGTTCCCATCGGTGATGCGGTAATTTCCACGATTGATACGTGTGTCGGTGTGGAGTTATGCGAGGAACTGTTTACACCCAATAGGTATCTTGATTCCTGCTTGTTTTTTTTTTTTTTTTTTTTTTTAGAAAAAAATTATCTTTTTTCGATATTTACGCCATATATTTTGTGTTAGTCCGCATATTAGAATGGGATTGGATGGGGTAGAAATCTTTACAAATAGTAGCGGTAGCCATCACGAACTACGAAAGCTCCACAGACGCATTGATTTGATCAAGGAGGCAACCTTAAAGGTACCGAAAATATCCAAGCCGCATAAAAAGAAAGTAATTGGCCTGTTGAGATCTTTAAATTTCTGCCATTAGAATGGTGGGATCTACCTTTACGCGAATCAGCAAGGTTGTGACGGTGATCGCTTATATTACGATGGCTGCGCGTTAATTGCCGTTAATGGCCAAATAGTCGCTCAGGGCTCACAATTCTCTTTGAAGGATGTGGTCAGTAATATATATCTATTTTTCTTTTGCGTCCGTCTTAGCGTATCACAAACTTCAAGTAATTTGAAAATCAAATTAAAACTCAAGGAAGTGATCACTGCAACAATTGACATAGAAGACGTGCGTTCGCACCGCGTACAGAGTAGCAGGGGAATGCAAGCTGTTAGTACCTATTCATACGAACGTATTAATGCACAAATAGCATTGTCTCGAAAAAAAGATTCGAGGCATTTACGCCCCACAAAGCCCGTTCAGGAATCCTATCACACGCCAGAACAAGAAATCGCGTAAGGATAGTGAATTGGGGGTTTTTTTTTTTTGTTTGTTATTGACCTCAAGTATTTTATTTCAGGCTTGGACCGGCATGTTGGCTATGGGATTATCTTCGTCGATCAAAGACTAGTGGATATTTTCTACCACTTAGTGGTGGTATAGATAGTTGTGCGACAGCGACCATTGTGTATTCTATGTGCCGTCTGGTCGTTGAGGCCGCAAGCAACCAAGGTAATCAGATTAAACACCACTCTTAGCTAACAATCATGCTTAAAAGATGTTCATAATATTAGATGTTCAGGTTATTGAAGACGCCAGGAGGATTTCAGGGGAGAAAGATTCTGATTATATTCCGACAGATCCGAAAGAATTCGCAAAGTAGAGTATATTGAAATTTTGATTGCTTTGTTATTATTAAGTCGCAATTAACTTTATGTGAAAATTCAGTCGCATTTTTCACACGTGCTACATGGGAACCTCAAACTCGAGCAAAGAAACGTGTGAACGCGCGAAAAACTTGGCCAATGCCATAGGAAGGTTAGCGTGCATATATATGTTCATTTACATTTCCAACTCAGAATATAAAAACACTTTTTGCGTTATGACGTAAATAGTTATCATCTCAATTTTAATATGGATGACGTTGTGACTTCGGTGCATACTCTGTTTAATTTTGTCACCAAAAAAACACCGAAATTTCGCGTCAATGGTGGAACCGAAGTTGAAAATCTAGCTTTGCAGAATATACAGGTTAGAATTTCACCGAAACAATGTCAATATATGTAATATCGACCACGTCGTGATTTAATGCATATGTTCTTTAGGCACGACTAAGGATGGTTTTGTCTTATCTATTTGCACAACTTTTGCCCTGGGTGAGAAGTAAAAGTGGATCGTTGCTAGTCCTAGGTAGTTCAAATGTAGACGAATGGTGAGAAGTGATTTATGGAAGTAGCTTTAAATGTGTTAACTTTATTTAGTACTTAACAAGTTCTTTTCTTTAATAAGTCTTCGCGGCTACCTAACGAAATATGATTGTTCGAGTGCAGATTTAAATCCGATTGGAGCCATTAGCAAAATTGATTTGCGTAAGTTTATTAACTACGCTAAAACTGAATTTGATCTTCCGATACTGGATGAGTAAGTGGTTTGAGTTTAGCAGCGTGTTTCGAACAAGTTTTTAAAAAAATTTTTTTTCTTTTTATGGACATAGATTTCTGAATTCAGTACCAACGGCCGAGCTTGAGCCAATCACAGGCGATTATGTTCAAGCTGACGAGGTCCGGTTCAACCTTCAACGTTCCAGTCAAATTATTCGTATCTTTGTCTAAGATGTGTTCTTGTCAATTTTAGGTCGACATGGGCATGACGTATGATGAACTGTCGGTTTTTGGACGACTGCGTAAAAACGAACGGTGTGGTCCATTTTCAATGTTTTCAAAACTTGTACACGAATGGGGATCCGTGCTGCAACCGTCCGAGGTATAAAAAAAAAAAAAAAGTCAACCTTTTCTTTAGTTGAACATTTCACATTAACCAAATCTTTCTCTGTACATAAAAAGATCGCTTCAAAGGTTAAGAGGTTTTTCTTTTATTATTCTGTAAATCGTCACAAAATGACGACCCTCACACCGTCGTACCATGCCGAGACATATAGTCCTGATGACAATAGGTTTGATCTCAGGCCGTTTCTATACAATACAGCCTGGAGCTGGCAATTTAAGAAAGTTGATTCATTAGCTGATGAACTAGAAAAAGAAGCTTAGGATCCCAGTTTCTTTTGGAATTGGTGAAATTTGTTTATTTTTATTACAAGCTACACATACTCAGTAACTTAATAAAGATGTACAATTTATATGACAAGAAAAGATGTACGTCAAGTTTAAACACTTGCCCTTGCATCTCAAGGTCGAATTAATGATAGAAAAAGTCTTAACAATAAGAAAATCCACGCTGCGCAATAAATCGTTTACTTGATGTCTATCGGAAGCTAGTCTATAAATGAACATGAGAGCAAGACTTTATCGAATTGAAACCTTTCGTAAAGTGCATGTTTAATTAGTACAAAAAGGATTCACATGCGAAAATCTCAAAATTTTAATAAAAAATATTTACCAAATCATCTATCTTCAATATCATTTTGACAGTTTCAGCTGCTAACTCTATGGCACTGGTCGACACGAGGAGAGGTTGTATAACATTCTCTTCTAGAATATTCGTGATGGTACCCTAATTGATTGATTAAAAAGATATTACACGAGTTTAAGAGACGAGATGAAAATTTTTTTGAACTTGGAACTGAAAAAAAAAAGAAGTCAATACCTTTCGCACATTAATGCCCGCTGTTTTCTCACTTAACGCATGTCTGTTCCTGAGTTCGGTGACAATATTGATAGGGTTTAGGCCCGCATTTTCTGCCAGGGTCACCGGAATAATTTCGAGTGCACTTGCAAAGGCTTCGAAACAATGAGCTTCCATTCCCTTGAGGGTTTTCGCATATTCGGATAAGCGCTGTGATACTTCAATTTCTGGTGCGCCGCCACCAGCAATAAGGGCTCTGTAACAACAAATCAAATTTTTATTTGGGGTACGGTAAGGTGGACTCATGCTGAAAATTCAAACGTAATTGAACATACTTCTTTTTTACAAGGCAACGAACGACACAAAGTGCATCATGCAGCGAGCGTTCTGCTTCTTCCAACACGAGAGAATTGGCACCACGAATTAAAATGGACACCGTCTTTGAGTTTTGCTTGACACCCGTAATCTTGACAACGCGTGCGCCGGATGTTTGCACCTCGTCGATCAATTCAGCGTGGCCAAGCTTATCCTCGGTGAAAGAATCAATGTCGGCAATTGGTTTACAACCCGTACTCTACAAGAAAAATGAATGGAAGATTAATTTTCGCGTATGCAAACTCCCTTCAATATGAACCATGTAGATTGCTAACCTTGCAAATGAACTCTATCTCCTCTCTCTCGATGTCTTTGATAACCAAGATCTTCAATTTTGACAAGAAATGAAGAGACAGGTCGTTAACTGCATCTCTCAGGATCGATTTTTGAATCAAAAGAGCATTGCATCCCGTTTTCTTTATTTTCTTGCACATATTTAAAAGATACTGTCGTTCCTCCTTCAAAATTTTATCCATGAGCCTATAATCGTTCACTACTATCTGGTTTTCCATCTATTCATTGAATAGACGTACAATTGAGTGTTTATATGCAATATTTGAATATGAGACAGTAAATGTAAATGAATTCTCACATCAGGTTTTGGAGGTGATAGTTGGAATTGAATAAGTCCAATTTTTGCTCTCTCAATACGAGAGGGTCCGTCAGAACTTTTGATGACATTCTGTGTCAAAACTAATCCATCAACGAGCTCAGTGTCATCAATAGTTCCCCCGACCTTTTTGACTATACGGATATCTTTGAGATCCACATTAGTCGCCATTTCTGGGTCAATAACACGTAATACTGCGTCCACGGCGATAGGCGCCAAAAGGCCAGAATATTGAGAGACGATCTATTATGGAATTAAATCATTATTATAATCAAATTTTTCGCGCCATGCGCCAACGACAGATTACAATAACCTTTCTCGTACCTTGGAATTCAAAGAGGTACTTGCAGCCCTCAACAAAGAATCTCTGTCCGATAGGACAATTTCGGTGGACATTTCTGTAAGAAACTCCGCGGATTTTGTGGCTGCGCGTTGGAATGCCTCGGCTATTGTCGTAGGATGTATTCCTTTTCGATCACAGAGAAAGTGCTTCAGAAACAACTTCAACAATAGATTCTGCAATGTCGACGCTGATAGATTTATATACCTTTGTTGAGCATTTTTTCGGCCGCTCCAAGAAGCGCACCCGCAATCACAACAACAGATGTGGTGCCATCTCCAGCTTCCACGTCTTGCGCGGCAGATAAGTCTACAAGCTAAAGCATATTTAATCATTGATATTTTTAACGGTCAAACCCAATTCACTTTTTCTTGATCTCTTAAACCCAAAAGATTTTTACCATTTTTGCAGCAGGATGTAAAACGGACATATGCTTCAAAATAGTGGCACCATCATTAGTGATCACCACTTCTCCATTTCCAGTTTGAATCTGAAAAAAAATGAGTTATAACATATTAGCTCAATTCCATTTTCAGTGAACGCGTTTTTTACGTCACATAAGGACGCTATGCACTTATTATCACCCGATTCGCGGTGGCAAAAGAAAATACATATTCAATTTCATCTAGAATTCACGAATGTTGACTGAGGAATAGTATAGATCTCTCGCAAAATTCCATGTATCTTTCATGCAAGTAACCCTTAATTGGCATCAAGTACAGAATAAATGCACTCACCATCTTATCCATCCCCTTTGGACCGAGAGAAGTCCGTATAGCATCACTGACAGCTGTTAACAAGAAAAAAAAATTTTTTAAGAAGTCGCGTTAAAAGGAAAATTATTATCCTCAAGATTCCCAGGAAAACATCATACCTCTGGCGGCGATGATATTGTTGAGACGAACTTCCGTTGGTTTTTCTCTGTCTTTGAAAGATCGATACGCTGTTGATTTGTTTTCAGACATCTTGCTTTAACAGAAAATAAAAGAAGTATGTATATTGATGTAACTATAAAAACCTATGCCAATCAAATCTTGTAACACGATTCGTGTACTTGATGGAATTCAGTTATGTATTTTAATCTCGTAGAAAAATGGATAGTGCTAAACCTTCAGATACGCAAAGTTTAAATCAAACACCTTCAGAAAATAATATAGAAAAAGAAGACGGTCTTTTGAAAGTCGTGAAGGTCCGCTTTTGCGCGATGTTTTTTTATACAATCATATACCTCGTAAAATGGCTTATGTATTTCGCGAACACAGAATATAAATTTCGATGATTTCAAAAACATTGCTAAAATGCCTTGCGCCCGACGTAGTTTCCTATATGGAATTGGTGGTGGAACAACAATTGGCTTTCTGAGGTTTATACAAAAAGGTGAGTCTTGTAAAATCACCGAAGGTACCGGATGTGACAACTCATAAATTTTGCGATTATAGGTAATGTCCCCTCGGCTACTAATTGGGCTGTCGGCTCGTTTTGTCTAATCTCAATAGGGACATGGTGAACGAAAATTTATAATTTCTTTTTCTTCTCTCCTCAATTCGCGTTTTTATTCATCAATATTTTTCAATTCCTCACAGGGAGTATTGTCAATATAAACGCGTTAGTCAACGTCAGAAACTGAGAGTGATTACTCAAAAGTTAAACGAAATAAGCAGGAAGAAAGCTCTGGAGAATGCATCCAAGGGGAATGAGATTGATTCAAAGAGTTAATATTGACGCGATTCACAGCAATTATATTATAAACCATTATCTCTCTATGCACAGAGGGGTCGCACAAATTTATTTCATTATTCGTGTGATAAAAAATTATTTTTATGCGCATCTACCAGTGTGTTGCATATCCATTTTTATTATTATTATTATTTCTTTCACGCGGTCTGGCATTGAGTCTATAAAGTGAAGAATTTTATCAAATTCGATATTATTTCATGCCATATTAACATTTCTTGTTACATGGTTTTTGATTCTTATGAATTTCTCTTCACTTTCTTGATTAAACTAAGGTTTGATGATTGTAATTTCGAACCTGGATTTACAAGCTTGTACTTGTGAATTAGCATAATATCTAAACAAGATTTTCATGTTTTGTATTTAGTATTATACTGTATATGAGTTAATTTGATATGATTTAGATTATTTTTGATTGATATTTTCATTTATGATATTTGAAGTTTTACTTAAGTTCCTTCGTTACACTTCATTGGATTGAAAACTTAATAATAAAAAGTATTATAATTATAGATTTAAATATTAACAAAATAATTTAAGAAATTTTTTCATTTTTAAAATAATGTTTATCAAAAGTTTATACTTTAATATTAATAAAATTATAATACTTTTACTCAAAGCATTTTATAATATCACATAGGAATTCATAATATAGTAATAATATTTTTAAATCATCAATTACAAGATTTCAAGTTCAATATTATATAAAATCCAATAGAATATTTTTGATAGAATTTCTTAAATATTCTATAAAACTTATATTTGATTATTTAAAAAATTATTGAATTCAATTAAAGTGTATAAAAATAGAACTTTTAATCTTTTATTAATTAAAAACCAATATTTATAATAAAGCTTTCAAATTCAATAATAATAAGTAATAATATTAATTAAAAAGAAATCATCTTATTATTCTTGGAAAAATCTTTTATATTGTAATCTTTTGCTCTAAAAAAAATTCAAAATAATATTAATTTTAAAAACTTTATAAAAGAAAAATAGTTATTAAATTTTTATAAATTAAAAAAAAAAAAAATAAAGTTTTTTTTTAAAAAAATTATAATTATATATATAATAAATACAATCTAAATTATTAAATTTAAAAAAAACTAGAATTTAATATAGAAAAAAATAATAAAATAAATACATTTAAAATATCTCTTTTAAAGATTTTTTTAAAAAAAGCTTTTTTATCAAATTAATTAATGAAGAGTTATCAATGCTTTTCAAATTGATCATAAAAAGATCAAATCTACTATATATAAACAAATAAAGTATATAATATGTAAACAATAAGCAAAAACAATAGAACATTTACTAAAATACCTATATATGAAATAAATAGTAAAAAATATGGAACAAAGAAATAGAAGATATCTTAAAAGACTTTTAAAAACTCCTACATATCAGAAGAAAATAAATAGAAGAAAAAAAATAATACTCCTGATTGAAAACAAAGTAGAATTAAAAGAATAACAAATATTTAATCAGATATATAGAAGAGATTATAGAAATTGATCAAAACATATTAAACTTTTATATAGGATTAATATGAAATAATTAGATATTAGAAATATCAAATATAAAATATTGCTAGAAAAGAATAAGTAAAGAAGTCTAAAAGTAAATAAAAAATATATAGAAGAAGATTTGCAATCAATTTTGAAAGAAAATTTAAAATAAAAAATATCTAAGAAGAATTAAGTAATAATAAGTACAAAGAATTTATAAAAAGACAAAATAAGAAAATTAACCAATTCTTTAAATCAGAATAATAAGATTACAATTATGAAAAAATATTTATTGAAAAAAAAAATTAGAAGATAAAGATCTGAAATAAATCTTATTAGAAAGAATAAAGTATAGAATAAGATACACTAGTAAAAAAAAATTATTTGGTATACTATCATTTATATAACATTTAACAAAAAATAAATAATTTGATAAAAAAATATATAAATAAATCAACAATTATATAATTCAATTATAAATATTATAAAAGTTGGTATATTAACAATTTATCAAAAAATTTATTAACAATTCATCAAATAATTTATTAACTATTTAGCAAAAATTTATTAAAAGTTTATTATACAATTATTTATTAGCAATTCAATAAAAAATTCAATAATAATTTATTAATTATTCATAAAAAATTTGTTAATAGTTTATTAATAATTTAATTATTATTTTTTTTTTAACCTGCAGTCAGGCCAATATGGCTTGTCTATTTTATTGTAAACATATTTGATATTTACATATTTTA